CTGGCCAATTTTGTCTCCTATGCTAATGTCTCTAAACATTATCGAGCCTTCCTTGCAGTTGTATCTAAGGAAGATGAACCTCGGACCTTTAATGAAGCATTTCGACATGCTTGCTGGCGTGCTGCCATGAAGGCCGAAATCACGGCTTTGGAACAGAATGGGACTTGGAGTCTTGTGCCAGCCCCTGCAAATCATCGCATTGTTGATTCTAAATGGGTGTTTAAAATCAAGTATCGCCCGGATGACACCATTGAGCGCTACAAAGCGCGGCTTGTTGCCAAAGGATTCACACAGGTTGAAGGTGTGGATTTTCACAATACTTTTGCTCCCGTGGACAAGCTTGTTACTCTTCGTTGCTTGCTCACTGTTGCAGCGCACAACGGCTGGTCACTTCATCAGCTGGACGTTAATAACGTCTTCCTCCAGGGTGACATTGAGGAGGAAGTATACATGTGCATTCCTCCGGGTTTTGCGCCCCCCGGTAATCAACGTGTCTGTAAGCTCCACAAGTCCATTTATGGGTTGCATCTTCTTCGGCTGATCATTCTCTATTTGTATATCATCATGGTCAGACCTTCGTCGCCTCATTGATCTACGTCGACGACGTTCTTCTTACTGGTAATGATCTGGATTTCATCTTTCGTGTTAAGGCTTCTCTTGATCAGCAATTCAACATTAAGGATCTCGGGCCTCTGCGATATTTTCTGGGTATTGAGGTTGCCCGTTCACCTCAGGGTCTCATCCTTAGCCAGCGGAAATATACCATCGACATTCTCGAAAAGGCTGGCATCCAGGCCGCTCGACCCAGTAATTTCCCGGTGGAGCAAAATCATCAGCTCACCAGACCAGGTATCTCAGAACCTCTTGTTGATGGTTCCGCTTATCGTCGTCTACTGGGTCGGCTGCAGTATCTCACTGTCACTCACCCATACATCAGCTATGGTGTCAACATCTTGAGTCGTTTTGTTCACTCTCCGACTCAAGCTCACATGGATGCTGCAGTACGCATCCTGCGTTACTTAAAGCAGTCCCCTGGTCAGGAGCTCTATATTCCAGCTCATGGCTCTCTGGATCTTGTTGCCTATTGTGATGCAGATTGGGCGGGATGCCAGAGCACTCGTCGTTCTACCACAGGTTTCTTTATCACTCTCGGCTCGACACCTATTTCATGGCGCACAAAGAAACAAAAGGTCGTTGTCAGGTCATCCGCTGAAGCTGAGTATCGTGCTATGGCTAGCACTGTCAGTGAGGTTTTGTGGCTACGGTTGTTACTTCATGAGTTAGGAGTCACTCCCACGCACGCCACACCCCTTTATTGTGATAATCAGGCAGTCCTGCATAGAGCTGCCAATCCAGTGTTTCACGAACATACTAAGCATGTTGAAATGGACTGCTATTTCGTTCGGGAACGCGTTTTCGCTGGTGACATTGCGCCCCGCAAGGTCAGTTCAGAGATGCAGCTCGCTGATATCTTTACTAAATGTTTGGGTACAGACCGCTTCCGGTTTCTGCTCTCCAAGCTGAACGTTCGCGACCTTCACCGTCCAGCTTGCGGGGGCGTATTGGGCCAGCCCATGTCATCCGTCGCCCAACCCAAGTCCGGCCCGGGGTCAGAGGCTCCAGCTCAAGTAGCCGCCTCCAGTTGCATGGTCATGGGATCCATTATGGGTGAAGATGATTGTAAAACCCTAGCTACTGTATCTCATTGTATAAATCCCAATGTACAACCAATTGGCTGTGTGTGCTAAATATCAATAAGAATAGTAGCTGGAGAGGCTTCCCTCTCCCGTGGACTAGTCCCGAATCATCGGGGATACCACGTAAACTTTGTGTCTTGTTCGTTTCATCGTTTATCTTTGTTTTCACACATCAACGGGACCCGGATGGCGAGGACCCTGTACAGGAACAATGGCGATTAGCAGAAGGAAGAGGGGGATTGTGGATCTAGGGAATGGGCAATTTGATTTCAATTTGTGGATTTTTGGTAGGTAAGAATGTATGAAAGAAGTGAGGGATTGTGTGTCTGGGAAATTTGGGGATGGCGACCACAATTTTTTTTGTTTATTTTTTTAGCATTATTTATTATTTTATTAGATAAAGGAAATAAGAAAATGATTTGTAATTTGAATTTTTTATTTATTTTTCGTTGACGTGGCGGTGAGCTGGAGCTTTGGTCGTTAGTCAACGATGTTGACCGTCCAAATTCACGGTCAAAACACACGTCCGGACAAACTAGACTATATGATGTGTAGTTGAGGTCAGGATGACAATTTCCGAAACTACGGGCTAAAGTTGATTATATAGGTATAGTTTGAGCCATAATAAGGTATTAACTATTAACCCTTCTTTCTTTTTCTCAATCTTTTCCTTGTTTTCGTGCAGCCACACTAATACCGTGATAGAAACCCGTTTTCTAGAATTCTATCGGTTAAGTTGTGGAATTGGGATTTGAGAAGAGAAAGATAGGGAATCGGCCGAAGCCTTTAGAGAGATTGAGATAGAGAATTGAGAGGATTGGAGAATACGGTTTAGGAGATTATTTTCTTAATACTTTCTTCTTATTGATTATGAATGAATGACCAATTACATATTTATAGCGAAAGACTAGAAAAACCTAATAGACTATCCTAATATGACTCAAACACTTAATAATAAAACCCTCATAATAATAGTAATTATAGAAACCATAGGTTTCTATCATCTCCTCCCCCTTGAGACCAACCTTGCCCTCAAGGTTGATCGACTCGATCCATTTCTTCACCCTATCTCCCGCATAGACCGTGCCTTGTCTCCTCCACTCCTCGTGCTTCCTTTTCTTCCAATTATGCTTCACTACTTGCCTTGGGCTTCTTGCATCGGCCTTTTTGTGTTAATCAAGAGCGGATTTCATTTCCGAGGGCCCAATTTTTGCCTCTTCGAGCTATCCTAACATTACTAGCGCTTCTTTCGTTGTCATCCTCCTCTGTGAGCTTAAGAAACCCAAAGATGTTTCTTTGTACAAAAATCTATCATTAAGAACCAACTCATCAAGGCCTTCAAAAAGTTTTATTGAAGAAGCCCATATACTTGCCTTGATGTCTCTCTAATTGCTTTTGGGCTCTGCTCTATTAAAAGCCCACCTGCCCACTCATTAAACCCACCATTTCCTTCATCCAAGCCCATGTTCTTCAAAGAACAGCCCACCCGGAGCCCAATTCGTTCCATAAGACTCAGCCCACAAAAATACTCTTCCTCGGCCCGCTTCTCCTCAACTCTCGGCCCATTGTCTGGTGCTTGCTCGGCCCTCTTTATCATATACCCCGACCCACTCTATGGACTCAGTTGGTCCGGTTCGAACCCAGCAGCCCCCTTCGGACAACCCAGATCGGATTTCCTGTTGACGGACCCCTTCTCATAGGTTCCTCCTTCTAGCCTATCGGAACGTGCGGCCCGCATCATTGTACGACCCAAGAAAAGCTGCGGCTCTAGGGTTGCGAGGAGAAGCTCGCGACTGGCTTCTTCTCCTCAACTCTCGGCCCACTCCAGCACCTCCATCTGCATCTTCGCCGATGGCTTCTTCGCCTCGTGCTTTGACGCTCGCGGCTCTGGCGACGAGAAGCTCGCTCAATTGATAGAAGCCTGTTTTCCAGAATTCTATCGGTTGAGTTGTGGAATTGGGAGTTTAGAGATTAAAGAACAAAATTAGGGATTTGACAAGAGAAAGATAGGGAATCGGCCGAAGCCTTTAGAGAGATTGAGATCGAGAATTGAGAGAATTGGGGAATAAGGTTTAGGAGATTATTTTTTTTAATACTTTCTTCTTATGTATTATGAATAAAGGACCAATTACATATTCATAGCGAAAGACTAGAAAACCTAATAGACTATCCTAATATGACTCAAACACTTAATAATAAAACCCTAATAATAATTGTAATTATAGAAACCATGGAACAATAAAACAATAAATCAATACCAATCCAGTAAAAAAACATTACCATTGCACAAAACACCAATACCTTTTGAGAAATAAGAACACTACCATTTCACAAAACACCAGTACCATTGCAAATTTGACCAATACAATACATAGAAATCAATACCATTACATGATAATCAATACTAATGCGAAAAACAATACCAATTCGAAAAAACACTACCACTATTATATCACAAAATAACTATGGCCTTACATATAATCAATATCAATGCAGAAGAAACAATACTATGCAATAAAACACTACCACTATGAAAAAATCACTACCAATGCAAAAGAATACATACCAATAAAAAAACCAGGCATCCTATACTCTAGTAAATTTCCCCAATTTCCTTTTGTTTCTCAGCAGTCATTTGCGAAAGAGAGAGAGGGTGGGGGTGTGGGGGGGGGGGGGGGGGAGGGGTCGTGGTTGGGGTGGGTTTTGCAGCAGAGGCAGGATGGGGTGGGGTGAGGAGGGAGGAGGGATGGGCAGCAGCAGATCCAGGACACAACGTAGCAATGGGCCGCATTTCATTAGAAAATTAGATATTGTAAAAAAATCACAGTTTTTTTTATAATATCAATTGTACACGTCAATCTTTTAAATTTTAATATAGTGAATTCATCAATAATAGAGTTTACATCCACATCAATAGCATACTCTCTTTAAGATAAAAAAGTAAACCAATTGGAGAGAAATTCATCGTTCATTTTGTTGCGCAAATGTCAACACAATCGATTAATCAATTCCTATTTTAAACAACTGCTCAAGTAATTTATTAAGAGAATAAACATCATATTTCTTTTAGTCTTTTACGTTTTAGAATTTTAGGTTTCATTGTTTACTTTTCTTTGTATGAGAATTATTGGAGCTAGAATTTTCAGGCTAAATTTAGAGTTGTGATTTGAATATGTTCATCTTATCATATTTTCTAATTTTTTCATAATGGTATAATTGAGATTTCTTTGGTTCCGAGTTTTCCGGAGGCAGGAAATCGACTGCGAGTTTGCGACTAGGGTTAGACCGCAGCGGCAAAACCCGATGGCGGCGGCAGGCTCGCCGGCCACGCCAGCACACCCACCGGAAGAACCCCAACCCCCCGACTTTGCGAGCGGCATCCGCCGATTCCCTGAAATCTCATCGTCTCCGGATGGCAAGAAGGACAGGGAAGCGCAGCAGGCAAAAAAGCGAGTTCGGCCGCTAGAATTCAATAAAGACAATGCAGGCTTGGAAGATGTGATCGTTGAGGATATTACGGAGGAAGAAGAGCAAGAGGATATGAGCCCGGAAGCCTGACAGGGAAACAAGGATTCGAAACAAACTGCTGGGAGACCACAACCACCGCCGGCGGCCTGGGGAGTGGGTCGCAAGAAGCTGTTTAGCGAGGCTGTTCGGGGGGAATCGTGGTATGTGGCGGAATCGGACAATGAGGATGGGGTGGAGGAGATGAGTGAGGATACAATGAAGGAGAATGCTGATCATGAGGAAGACCCCCGATGCCCTACGATTTATTTCTCGCCCGAGGAATGGCGGAGCTACAGGTGTGAATGGAGATCAGCACTCATGGTGAAGGTTCTTGGCCGTTCCTACCCATATCCAGTAATGGCTAAGCGGCTCAATATGCTGTGGGCGAGGAATGGGACAATTCAGATAACGAACAGACCTAATGGATTCTTTTTCGTACGGTTCACAAGCAAGATGGATTATGAGCTTGCCCTTACGGGGAGCCCTTGGCTAATTGGAGACAACTATATCACTACTCAGAAGTGGAAGAAGGGTTTTAACCCAAGAACTTGTCAGATTGACTCAACCTCGGTCTGGATCAGGTTACCCGACCTTCCTATTGAGCTCTACCACCCTGAAGCTGTGCTACGCATAGCCAAGCGAGCGGGCACACCGATCCGGGGTGATCGAGCGACTGAGCTGGGAGCAAGAGGAGTATTCGCCAGGGCGTGCATTGAGGTGGACCTAACGAAACCCCTTCTATCGAAGTATAAGGTGGCAGGAGTGGAGTATGAGATTAAGTACGAAGGTTTAGAAAACATATGTTTCGAGTGTGGAACCTATGGACATTCCAAGTCCCATTGCCCCTCGCTACACAAGTCTAATGAAGCAAACAAGGAATCTGCTGACCCTGTACGTAACCCAGGCCAAAAACATGAGGAAACGTATGGAGAATGGATGATCGCTAAGAGGAGGGAGCGAAGACCTAACAAGAAGTTCGATAATATCAGAGCTGTAGGAAGGGACCGCAGTAGTACGTTTGACGGACAAGCAAAGGGAGGTTCTCGTTTTGAGATACTTAGCCAGGAAGAGGAAAATTCGGCGTCGTCGCAGCAGCAAGGGATCCCGAGCAGGGCTCGAAATGATACTGACTAGGCCGCCAATCGAAACAAGAAAGCGAACCCCTCACCTCCAGTGCCCAAGACACAACAAATTTGGGTCGAAAAACAGCCGGTGGAGGGCGCGAGCTCAGGTGAGTCAAAAAGTGAGCAACTGATAGACCGTTAATTACACATGTTTTCACCCCTGTTCTTACACCGTTTAAGATGTGGTTTCTCGTGTTTTAGACCGATTTCATGCTAGGTTGCGCTTGTTTGTGATATTTTAGGTCTTGGCAAGTGAATGAAAGTTTAGGAGCGAGTTCGGGGTCGATTGGGCGAAGATCGGGCGCGAGGCAAGTCACAAAGGAAGTCGCACGGGCACACCCACAACCCGCACGGCCGTGCAAGTGACCAGTTTGGCCGTGTGGGATTGTGCGAGAGCAAACACGGGCAGAGCAGAAAATCCACACGGCCGTGCAAGTGACTAGTTTGGCCGTGTGGAATTCTGCGAGGCTTCACACGGCCAGGCTGGGTGAGCTACACGGCAGTGTGACCCTGGCCGTGTAAGAAGCTTGGAATTCAACTAATTGATGCGCTGCGGTTTGACTCGCACGGGCAACTGGGTGAGCCACACGCCCGTGCGGCCTGCCCGTGTGAGTCGGGATTTTCTGGTTTTAAGCCAATTTCCAGCCACAAGTCGAGCGGATTCGAGTTTTGGAGAGACAGAGCGATTCCTAGAGAGAGAAAGCGACGAACAAGAGTCTCCAAGTGCCCTAGCTTGATCTTCATCACCATTGGAGGCCAGTTTGAGCTTGGAGAAGTGCCGATCAACGTCCAGGAGCAGGAATCCATCCTTCACAGTATGAATTCCGCGTCTGATTCTGCTTTTGCTTCTTTCTCCATGGAGTAGTTCTCCCATTCATCTAGGTATGGAGAACCCTAGATTTGTATGTTAGGCTTTGATTGTATGAACCCATGTACTGATTCTATGATTTGATTATATTCGATTGAGGTTTGAATGATTGAATGACTTGAATCCTGATCAAATTCCTGTTGTTTCTGCTTTAACCTAGAATGAGAATATCTGCCTAGGTTGATAGAGCATCCTTGATTGAAGGTAGGGAGTTGGTGACTTTAGTCGAGGAGCCAACTCACTATTCTGTACCGAATTTACTCCGGTAGTGGAGGTTTTGTTTGTTAAGGCCTCAATCTGTTTACTCCGGTGGAGGTTAGTCGCCCGCTAGAGACTCAGATTGAGAGGGTCTGAAGACCTTTAGTCGAGACTTCAGGCTGTTTGAGAACCTTCCGCAGTATAACTATCATAGAAACTGAACTTGGTAATTACAATCCGGCTTAACTGTAGTCTAGGGGGAACCATATCCGGGTGACCTCTCTTAACCTGAATACAACAGTTTACTTGCTTTGTTAGTTTGTTAGTCAAGATTTGCATTAAAGTTTCATTGCTAGATAACAAGAATTCACTGAGTAGTCATCAAATCTAGGACCCGGGTTGATAATTAAACCCAAACCTGCTATACTACGCTTTAGGAAGTGGTTCTACTTGGCCAATTCCTAGGATGACAGTAGAAGTGAGTCAGCAACCAAGGGTAACAACAGGAAGTCCTCATCTGGGTAAGGAGATGGAATTGTCAAAGCAATCAGGCCCGGTTACATTAGTGGAAGTCGCACGAGAAAACCCCCTTAAGGGAGGCCATCCGTCCGAAACAGCGCAAGGGAGGGTTACATTAGTGGTAAGTCAACCAGTTGGAGGAGGTGACAGGTGTGAAGCCATGGTTGATAAGCAGGCAGCCATGCAAGCCATGCAACCTCCGTTAATGAATGAGGGTGATGCCACAATGAATGAAGAACCAGGAAACCCAGCAGAGTGTAGCGTTTTGGGGAGTAACTCTGAGGATATGCTCCCAAGGCCTACCTGAAGAATACCTCCCTACCCTAAAGATTCCATGGGTCAAATGGACTTAAGAATCTTTACGTGGAATTGTAGGGGGGCAGGAAGCGATAGCTTCCTACGAGTATTTAAAGAATACAAGAGCAAATACCAACCACATATGGTAGTCATTGTTGAACCAAGAATAAGTGGAGATAGAGCAGCACATGTGATTAACCAGTTGGGACTGGATAAGCATCTGATCGTTGAAGCGACTGGTTTCTCGGGGGGCATTTGGCTTGCATGGGATGAAGCACTTCTACAAGTCACGGAGAAAGAGCGAACGGGACAGCTCCTACATGTGGAAGTCCAGCAGGGTACCTTTCGGTTTTTCTTCACGGCTGTGTATGGACATCCTGCATTAATACAAAGAAGAGCCCTTTGGAACTCGATTCGGTTGCTAGCAGATGGAATGGAAACGGCGTGGCTTTTAGCTGGTGATTTTAACTCATTGCTGAGCGCGTCCGAGAAATGTGGGGGAGCTCCGTTTGATGCCAGTCGTGTTCGAGAGTTTCAGGACTGCCTTCTCGACTCCGCTTTGGCGGATTTGGGATTTGTTGGACCACCTTTCACGTGGTTCCGAAGAGGTACGAAGGAGAGACTTGATCGAGGCCTGGGAAATTTGATGTGGACCACACAATTCCCGGATACGACGGTACGACCGAGGGTTAAGTCGGACCACCGCCCGTTACTGATTAGATCTGGTCCGGAGTTTCCTACCCTTGGACCGAAACCGTTCAGATTCATAGCCTCGTGGCTGACCCATAGGGGGTTTCTGGACATGCTCAAGGCGGCATGGGCAAAAGGATCGGACCTGAAAAGCTGCTCCAAATCCTTTGCTAGGGACGCTGCTCACTGGAACAAACACACCTTTGGGCATATTATGAGACGTAAAGACCACCTATTGAGGAGGATTGAGAACCTCGAAGAGCAGTGGGGAGGGGATTCGGAACTTGCCAGAGCTTCGAGCCGAACTTGAGGAGGTACTCTTTCAGGAAGAGTTGTTGTGGCGCCAGAAGTCGAGCACAGATTGGGTCAAATGGGGGGACCAAAATACCAAATTTTTCCACACTCGCACTCTCCGCAGAAGGAAGCGGAACCGTATAGTAGCACTCAAGAATTCGAATGGAGAGTGGGTGGAGGATCAAAGCGAGCTAGCTAATATGGCTAGGCAATATTACATGGGTCTGTTCACTGATGATAGCTCCATGAACTCGGACATGTTGAATGGGTTCCCGACAATAGAGGCGTGGAACTGGGAGGAAATGGGCAGGGGTTTTACAGAGGAAGAGTTGCGGGAGGCTGTCTCGACCATGGGGCCCCTCAAAGCACCCGGTACCGATGGGCTCAACCCACTCTTCTACCAAAGATTTTGGGAAGTGGTGTCCAAGGAAGTTCTCGATTTTGCTCGGAAAGTTTGGGAGGAGCCCTCAACTATAAGAGAACTGAACGAAACCCTTCTGGTACTCATCCCAAAGATTCCAAGACCGGTCCTCATCGAACAGTTTCGTCCGATAAGCTTGTGTAATGTGGGCTACAAGATCATCACTAAGTGCTCGGCGGAACGACTGAAGACTTTTATGCCAGACCTTGTGCACGAGACTCAGACGAGCTTCGTGCCGGGGAGACATATTACTGACAATATTTGCATTTTGCAGGAAGTTGTTCATTCGATGAGAGCTAAGTCTGGACGGTCAGGGTGGATGGTGATAAAGGTGGACTTAGCCAAGGCGTATGACCGTATCCGGTGGAGCTTTGTCCGGGATACACTAGTAGCTGCTGGGGTGCCGGAGAAATTCACAGAGCTGACCATGCAGTGCATCTCAACCTCTCAACTGCGGATACAATGGAATGGTGGTCTCACGGAGGAGTTCTCTCCTTCCCGAGGGTTGCGGCAGGGATGTCCGTTGTCCCCATACATATTTACACAATGCATGGAGAGACTAAGCCACTTAATTAATGATGCTGGGGGGAATGGAAGCTGGAAGCCGATTAGATTGTCCAGCTCCGAGCCAGATTTATCTCACATGTTCTTTGCTGACGATCTCATCCTATTTAGTGTGGCTTCTACTGCGCAGGTACAAGTGATTAATCAACTGTTCGAGACCTTTGGGAGAGCCTCGGGCCAGCAGATCAGCAGACCAAAGTCGAGAGTCTTTATGTCAAAGAATATCTCGTCTAATCTTGCAGCCGCTCTTAGTGAAGAATTGGGGATACCTCAGACTTCTAATCTTGGCCGTTACCTTGGAGTCCCGGTAATCCACGACCGAGTTTCGAGAACTACATTCATAGAGCTGATTGATAGAATTGATGCCCGGTTGGCAGGCTGGGGAGTAGCAACCTTGTCCTTGGTGGGTCGTATTACTTTGGCTCAGTCGGTGCTTGCTTCACTCCCAGCTTACACCATGCAGACCACTTTCCTTCCAGCAAGCGTTCGTGAGTATATAGACAGGAAGATTCGGTGGTTTGTAAGGGGGAGCTCTGAAGCAGGGAGGAAGGTACACCTGTTAGACTGGAATACGCTATGCCGCCCGAAAGAAGAAGGAGGCCTTGGAATGCGGGATGCGACGACGTTGAATGAGGCTTTTATGATGAAGATTGCCTGGCGCTTGATGAAAGAACCGGATAGCCTCTGGGCTCGGGTTATCCGTAGTAAGTACCTGAGACTGGTGGGAGGCTCGTGGATTCCCAGGACAACAGGGCGGCTCTCAAATCTTTGGAGGGGGGTACTTTGAGTCCTCCATAGGATACCCGAGGCGACTGTATGGAATGTTGTGAACGGACGATCGGTTAGGTTCTGGCAAGACCGCTGGTTGAGTGACGGTCCAGTCCTGGCGGAGATGGCGGTTGGACTCCCACAGGAAGCTCAATCTATTTTGGTAGAGGAGATGGTGCTGAATGGAGAATGGAACGGAACCTACATCCAAGCTTTCCTCCCGAACGAGATAGTTGAACAGATTCTACTTCATGATATCCCCCGAGATTCAGGGAGTGATGTACCGACCTGGAGATATACAGAGAATGGGGAATTCTCCCTAAAGTCGGCGTACGAGCTGCTGAATGAGGTGAGCCACCCTTCCCAGTCCCACCCGCTTTGGAAGAAGATATGGAAGATCCCGGCCATGCAGCGGGTAAGATCGTTCTTCTGGCTGGTCGGTCACGGTCGCCTCCTGACGAACATGGAAAGACATAGACGTCATATGACAGCGGTAAGTGGATGCCAGATTTGCGGAGGAGATGGCGAATCTGTGACTCACGTCCTGCGGGATTGCCCATATGCGAGGGATGTCTGGTCTACTTTCCTTGAGAATGAGGAGGATGAGAAGTTCTTCTCACCGGACATGACAAGCTGGATGATGCATTATTTATCGGGTAAAAGGGTTAATCTGGATCCATCGTTGTTCGCGGTGGTGTGTTGGTTGCTTTGGAAGAACAGAAACACCTTTGTATTTGAGGAGAAGTTAGCTGCCGCTAGCCAAATTCAGGGGGCAGCTCGGAGAATTCATCATCAGATTGTAGAGGCCTTGAAGAGAGACCCGATGACCAGAGGGGAACATATGTCTGGCGAATGGAGGTCGGTTGGATGGGAGTTTCCCCCGGCCGGGTGGAGCTGTATTAACACAGATGGATCGGTGGCGCTATCTTCCCAGAGCGCGACGGCTGGAGGCGTTGTGAGACATGATCATGGGAGATTCCTGGGTGCCTTTGTGATGAATCTCGGTGGAGGCACGATCACTCGTGCAGAGCTTATGGGCATACGACAGGGATTGCAGAGGGCGTGGGACCTTGGAGTAAGAAAGGCTGTTCTCCGGTCGGATTCCAAGAGCGCGGTCGAGCTTATCGCGTCAGCTACTACATCTAGCCCGCACTTTCAGCTGGTATCGCAGGTGAGGCGGCTGATCAATCAAGAGTGGGAAGTTCGGGTGGAGCACACATACAGGGAGGGAAATGTGGTGGCGGATTACTTGGCGTCGACAGGATATAACCTCCCGGTGGGGGTGCACATGATATCGGTTCCCAATCCGATGCTGCAACACTGGCTTTTATTCGACCTTGTAGGGAGTGTAACTCCCAGATTTATTTACCAGTGAGTGAGGGGCGCCTGTGCCCCGAACATTACAAAAAAAAAAAGAATATGTTCATCTTACCTATTTTCCTAATTACACACAATTTTATTATAAAATAACACTGGGTCAAATGGTTAAATCGATAAACTCATAAGGGCTATACTAGTTCCGGATCCAGATTAGGGCTGGGCCGTGGCCCGGGGTGGCCACCCCCTGAATCCGCCACTGGGGATGGGGGAGGGGAGAGAAAGGGCGATGAGGAAGTTGAAACTAGGGAAGGTGGCGGGGGTGGGGGAGGTCTATAGTTCGGTTGGGTCGGGTTTAAGATACTTTTAATTAAAAATCCAACCCAACCCAACACAAAAAAATACAACAATTCTACACAACAAAATATTATATAACTAATTAAATTTTTAAACAAACAAATCGAAGCACAAAGTATTAAAATACATAAATGATATTTGCATTTTAATGAAATACAATATGCTTCAAAATAAGTCAAGCTTTTCCCACAAACATTTGTCGAAATAAACTAAAATGATTATAAGTGGACGCATTTATAATATATTATCCTTCTAAAATTGTACACTCAAAAAATTATGTGAATTGTAGCCTATATTAAACATACGTCTAAACTTGAAGTAAAAGAACGTATTGCATTAGGGAAACCACAAGAAAAAGATATGAAAAATATTTTAAATTTATTACAAAAATGTTTTAAATACGAATATTATGGTAATAGTTGGAACACGAGTTGAGTCGGATTGGCAGGTGGGCCGGTTTGCTGTTTATTTTGTTCACCTCGTCCCCTAGGTCCAATTAAGAAGGAAGGAGGGCGGGCAGGGAATAAAACTAGAGAAGTGAGCATTTTGTTACATACCACTTTTCTATTTCTATTATAAAATACTAGTATTTATGGTTTATGTGAATATTCGAGTTCATCAAAAGAGAAAAATATGAACTAGTAAATTGATTAACAAGAAAAACACAATATTGAGTGTGAAACAAAATAACTTCTCATTGAATTCTCAAAGTAATAGCAGTTGAATGTTCATGATTCACTAAGAAATAACCCAAGCACGTTTGCTAATTAAACACGTTTAAATCAACACTAAATCTCAATCATAATAAGTTAAATCTACAATTGAACCCTTGTCCACATTTCTCAAGGGAACTATGCAGCTTACTAGAAGTAACAATGCTATCTGTTTGTTATCAAGAATCCAATTGTTGTTATAAAAAAAATAGGATCCGATTGCTTTGACAACCAAGAAAGTAAGCAGCTATAATTGTGAAATCAAACATTGTCCATAAAGAAATCACGAAACCATTGTAATTGTCATTTTCAAAATGTAGCAAACGGAAGCCTGCTGCAAAATAATTACAGACAGCATAGAAAGCAATTACAAACAGTTAAAAAAGATGGTCACCAATTCACCATTAGACTAAAGTCAACAATAAGAAAACTGCAAAGTTCGAGAGATTACCAGCCGCAGCTCCTGGAAGTTGAAAAAGGAGAGGGCCAAAAAAGCACAAGGACCAAAAAGCATAAAGCTGAGAAACAAAAGACATCTGTAGAGAGGACAAACCGTCAGAACAAAACTGCAGCATAGGAGCTTATTTCACACATCCAGAGTTTCATCCACCGGAGAAATGGGTAACAATCCCGTCCAGTCCAGTCCAGCTTTAGGTCTCGCTGGGTTGTTATGAAATTGAGTAACGCTAATTGACAGTAACTTGGGCTTGGATCTCCGAACACAAATCCTTATCATAGGAAATTCAAGGGAAAACGAACCAAAGAACGGATACATCACCACACAAAATACAGGGAGAAGAGTTCACACATGCAATCTAAATGAACAGAAAACACGGATCCAAGATCTAACCAAACCAATTACTCTCTGGAGCTGTGTAATTTGCAGAATTTTCGCTCCGAACTCTGCCAGGATCAGAGGAGATGAGACATGGGGGAAAACCACAAAGTGAACCTAAAACACAAAGAAAAAGATACAAGAATACAAAGGGAGAACTTGACTTAGTAGCATCAGGGATGTTGCAGATTTCCATGGTCACTGTTTTTTGACCACCGATCCAAATCTCCGGGGTCCTCTCCTCAATTGATCTCGCCACCCCGCCGTGCGTTCTGTCTTCGTGCCTGAATTCCCTTACTGTTAACTCTGTGCAGGTATCTCCTCTGAAAAGTGATGAAACAACCCATGGTGAGAAAGAGAGAACAAAACCATCAAAGAAAAGAGAAGAGAAGAGAACAGAAGCGGATCTGGGTCTCCTCCGATTCCTCTCTCGGCCCCTCAATTTCGCGCAATGATTGCTCAAAGCACAGAGAGTGTGAGACGTTGAGAGGAAAGAGGAAGAGATAGGGATGCGTAAGCTATGAGAGAGAAGCAAAATCTACCCGAGAGTGAAAGCACTGCTGATTTGACCACATCACAAGTTCCCAACAAATAATCAAAAGGAGAGAGAAAGTAGACTACCGGGTAGACTAAAACAAGGGAAAATCAATCTCATCCCTCTCTAGTTTCCTCCACTCCACTCTCTGAGGAGAGGATGCACAGCCTCCCAAAAACCCCTTTGGAATCCAGAGAGACAGAGGCAAGAAAAGCAATAAAAAAAAAGGAAATTAGTCTCCATCAGCAACCCATCATTCCTCTCAGTCTCATCAGTCATCTCTCCCCGTCTCTCACGCCGGCCAAAGCAATAAATCAAATATTGATCTACACAGCGACTCCTCGTTCCTCCCAGTCTCTGCGGCGGGAGCACCAAGGCAAATACTATTCTGACAAAGAAATTAATTAAAGAAACCTTGATACCAAGGCAGCAGAGTTCACACCAAACAAAAGCAACCAAACCAACCAGACATCCCATCATTAGTTGGAAGCAAGGTTGTCAAACCGGTTTATACTGTTGTGCCAGTTTGACAAGTGGAATGATACGACCGGTGGTAAAACCAGTTTGTGTCGGTTAATGCCGGTTTAAAAAAATGTGAAAACAATTAATATTCAATGTATTTAGTTATATATAAAACATATTTATGGACAATTTAGTTATAATCCAACAAATATCATCGACTTTTAACTATTAAATTCATAAAATGAATAATATATTACTTTTTTTATTCATTAAAGTGATGTCATTTAGCTTAGAATGCACAAGTCGAACATATCCAATGTTGTCAGAACCGAACCGAAACATGACCCGGTAATGCGAACTGCTCGTACTTTAGCGGTTCAACCGGCATTAGACCATTTAAAAATCGTTAGAGAACCGGTATATAATAAACGTTATCAGTATAAATAGTGGGCATTTCTTAATCAGAGCTCATCTCTTTCCTTCGAAATTGTGAAATGGAAATAAGTATTCAATTTGAGAGCCCGACGTTTTTGATTTATTTCAATTTTCAATTTTCTACAATTTTTTTAATTAAATATAGTGGTTGAATGGCAAAAACCGGACGAGCGGCTCGATCAGCTCGAACGGTTAACCGCCTCGGCCGCTCGCCAATCGCTTCATAAAACCGAAGCGACTTTTAGACTGTTCCGAGCCGGTTTTGTGACCGGTGGCGGTTTTACCGGTCGGGCTGAACGGCTCGGTTCGGCTTTAATAACACTTATCATACCGGTCATATCGGTGGTGTCATACCGGTTTCATTACCGGCACAGGTTGAACCAGGTTAAACCGGGTGGCATGTCACCGGCATGATTGCCATGGTTGGAAGGGAACCGAACGTCCAGAAGCTCCCCTGCACCCTCCCGCACCAGATCCCACGCCAAGCTACTACAGTAAAACCCAGTCCAGTCAAAATTTTATAAGCAGTAAAAGGTCTCTTACGTCCACAGTGAAGTGAATGGTCTTTCTAAATAATCCAGGGACTATTTAGTTACACATTTAAACTTCAGGCATCTTATAATACTATCCCTATATATTGTCCCGCCCATTGTTGCAGCCGAAACCTCCCATCGCCGAATTCGCCTAAACTATTCCCCCAATCTCCGAACCCTAGGCAACCACTGCGGAATCATGGCTGCGGAATCTCCCATGGCTACCAAGCGGCCGAATCCGACGAAAGACCTTCCATCTCCTGCTTCTTCCGAAGAAGATGATGATACTTCCTCCGCCGATGAAGCCTCTTCCAACGAAGAACTGCCGTCGCAGGATAGAACGTTGGCTTCCCATTCACAAGGTCAACCGAAGAAGCAAGCTGTTCAGAGCTCCGATTCCGACTCCGAGCACGTCTCTGATACGGATTCCGACTCTGATCCGCGGCCGAAGAGCTCTGGCGTTCTGCACAACGTGAAGCCCATCGCTTCCCAGCCCCAGCCTAAAGCTGCGGTTCCTGCCTCTTCCTCAAAATCTACGCCGGTGAGAAAAAGGGCGAGTGAAACTGAAAGGGAAGCAAAGGACGCCAAGAGGCAGAAAGAGGTGGTGGAACACAACGTGGACGGAAACGGTAAGAAAGAAAATACGCCGAGAGTGCTCTTCCAGCGGCTATGGGGTGAGAACGATGAGATCGCGGTGTTGAATGGGCTGATCGAGTTCGCCGAGAAGGAAGGAGCTGATTCCTGCAAGGACATGGCGGCTTTCTATGACTTCATCAAGAAGTCTGTGGCTGTGGATGTGTCGCTGTCTCAGTTGAAGGAGAAAGTTAGAAAATTGAAGGGGAAATTCAAGAGTCACGCCAATGGGAAGAATGGTTTGGACAAGAGCTTTAGCAAAGCTCATGACCAACAAACTTTCGACTTGTCGAAGAAGATCTGGGACAGTCAGGGAGAATGTCTTCTAGTTCGAAGTAAGTCGAGCGGAAAAGTGAATAAGAGCGGTGGTGCTAAAGGTATAGGTAGCAGTAAAAGTGCATCAAAGGCTGCTGATTTGAGTGCAGCGAATGGACATGAAAATGCAAAGAGCATCGGCCGTGGTAGAAATGCCGGAAACGCCAATAGGAACGCCGCTAGTGCTGCTTTGGGAGCAGGGAATGTAGGAGAGGAAATGGTGGAAATCGACTGGGTCAATGATCGGAAAGATGGGTTAAGCTTTGATTGGAGTCCAGCTGGTGCAGAAGTTGAGGCCTTTGTGGTGAGCAAGGGGATGGACATGGTGGATGGATCGGAAAGAAACGAGCTTGCTAGAAGATGGAAGGAGCTCGATATCGAAGCTTTGGAGAACTTTGTTAAGAGGAATCAATTGATCCTTGATCAGGCTCAGTTGATGCTGGACAGCATCAGCAGCAGGTGAAGATCGATTCGAAGGAAGCTAGATTTGGTGAAGGTAGAACTGCAGCATCTAACAAGTCAGATGTCCTTTTGTTACTATGTTTTTTATTTATGTGGAGGAGATGTACCAAATGCTTTTGGGAAAAGTCTTATGAAGAACCTGTGATCCATATTGACTCTCGATCTACATTTTGCTTTGTTGGAGAGATTAGGAGGCTTCGTAAGGCTTATTGTCATCTTTGGTGTTTTGGTTCTTGCTCAGTTGTTGTATAGGTTTCGATGTTGATGCTTTCTCGTGATTGTTAAACCGGTGTGATCGCTTTCGATTAGTTGAAATGGTAAGATGTGTTTGTTGGTATCTTTCCCGCTTCTTGAATGGTGGCGGTGAATGATGCCTTCTTGAATGACTGTGTTCTTTTTTTTTTTTTACAATAAATCAACTTTTATTCCACCAATGACAGAAACGCGCTAAACAACGACTACACTCTTAAAGGAGATCAGAAATTAGGTCAAGAATACTAATCAAGTCCTCTGGCAGAGTATATCTAGCTTTAGATCGTGCCACCCAATCAGCCCTCACGTTCAGCGCCCTTGGAACCTCCTTAACCGAAATTGCAGGGTTATTCCTAAGGATATCAACCATTGTTCTAATCCATGCTGCACATCTCCAGGGCCATCGAGATTGATTTTGGTTCAGGGCCTTCACTAGTATTTGACAGTCAGACTGTATTGTACACACCAATCCATATTCTTGTGCTAATTTAATACCTTCCAGGAGTGCCTTCGCTTCCGCTTCAATCGGGGGTGGAACAAAGAAGAAACTCAGCTCTCCCATCACACACTTGTCCATGGTGGTTAACAACAACAACACCATAAGCCGCCGACTGGGAGTCGCTAACGAACGACCCATCACAGTGAATCACCAACGAGTGATTACTTGGCGGGGGATTCGTAGTGGGAGGGGATCCCCTGAGCTGAGTGGGGCCATCAGTAGAAGGAGGTGGGGGCCTCGGGCAAGACATCCATTCTGTTAGTTCTCTATAGGTTTGTAGACACACATTTGGGGGCCAGGGAACTCTATTCTTGAAGGTACTCTCGTTTCTCGCCTTCCAAATGTTCCAACAGAGATAGATAATGTGAATTAGGGAGTTATTAGGTATGGTATCTTTGAGGGAGCAGAACCAGTCAAAGAAAGAGGTGCCCTGGGGAGGGATCAGGATGGATGGGAAATGGAATTCCATGACTCTCTGGCATGAGGGCAGTAGAAGAGGCAATGGTTAAGGGATTCCACCGGGTCCTGACAAACCTGGCAAATCGGGTTAGGAGCACATTTCCGTTGGAAAAGCCTTGCTTTCGTTGCCAACCCGTTTCTAGAACATCTCCAAATGAAGAATTTAAGCTTAGGTGGAATATTCAATCCCCAAATCCGTTTCCAACTCTCTTCACTTCCTGTCGATTGGAAATTGGAGTTAGCTTTGTGGACTGCGTGATATGCTGTCTTGACCGAGAAATCCCCCTCTCGATTGAGGCTCCAAGCCCAAAAATCCTCAGATCCCTCCTCCCCTATAGGAATTTTAAGGATAGCCTCCACTTCTGCACTTGACACATGACCTTGAATCAAATCCGTGTTCCATCTCCTATAATCAGGGTCTATCCAGTCCTTGACCCTCAGGTTCTGTTGGGGGCCACTTCTAATGACAAAATTCTGCAGGCTCGGGATCCATGGATCTTGGCCAACCCATGTATCTTCTCCTGATCCGATGATTATAACCGCTCCCATGTTGATCACTTTTTTTTTTTGCCTCCCATAGACTCGCCCAGATCCAAGATGCTCTACTTCCTTTTTTGGATTGTAGGAACCCTCCTCTCGGGAAGTACAAACCCTTCAGAAGACGACACCAAAGGGCATCAGTGGTATTAAGGAGTCTCCATGCCTGTTTCGCCAACAGGGCCATGTTGAAATCTTTGAAACTTCGGAAACCCAAACCCCTTCAGTTTTCGGAGCGCAGAGAATTTCCTTCTTACACCAGTGCATGGTGCTTTTTTGCATTGACCCTGACCAGAAGAAGTTGGTGAGGAGGGAATCCATCTTCTTGGTAAGGTTCACTGGTAGGTTGAAGAGGTACATAATGTAGGAGGGAATAGCTTGTATAACTGCTTTGAGCAAGACCTCTTTCCCTCCATGAGAAAGTAGGAGACTCTTCCATGCTTCCCCCATCTTCTCCATTCTCTGAATGAGGAATTGGAAAGTTTCCTTTTTTGAATTCCCCCACTCTGTTGGAACTCCCAGGTATTTTGAGTGACAATTTGACGTTGCAAACCCGATATGAACAATGATCGCAGCTTTATCACCATCGGGTACATTTGCACTAAAAAAAACTGAGGATTTATTGATATTCACTTCTTGACCCGTGATGGCTCCGTACTCTCTGATAAGGTCGAGGATTTTCTCTGCCTCTTGACGGTCAGCCTTTCCAAAGATGACTGTATCATCTGCAAAAAGACAGTGGGTGAGGATCGGGATCTCGCGTTTAACCTAATTCCTTTTAACTGGTTCTGGGAAACAACTTTATCAATAAGAAAGGTGAGAGCATTAGACATCAAAATGAAAAGGAAGGGAGATAGAGGGTCTCCCTGTCTAATTCCCCTTGACGGTTTGAACTCTTCCGTTGCTTCTCCATTGAAGAGGATGGAGAAATGGACCGTCCGTATGCAGGAGCTGACCCATTTGCATCATCTCTCCTCAAAACCATATCTCTTCAGCAACATCTCTAAGAACTCCCAGTCCACCATATCATACGCCTTCTTCATGTCCAACTTAAGCATCATGTCTCTTCTCCTTCCCCTCTTGTGGTTTTTGAAATGGTGGAGGGCCTCGTGGACAATAATGATATTGTCTTGGATGAGTAGACCTCCGGTAAACGCCGTCTGGAGCTCCGATATCAGATCCGGTGTCCAAATTTTCAAACGAGTTGCCATAATTTTTGATATAATTTTGTATATGAAGTTACAGCAACTTATGGGCCGGAACTGGCTAATCAACTTTGGATGGTCAACTTTAGGAATCATGACAATATGTGTATCATTCCATCCATTCGTCATCATGGATGTCTTAAAGAACTCCTTAACCTCTCTACACACTGTTTCCCCTATAATGTCCCAGAATCTTCTGTAGAACTTTCCAGAGAATCCATCCGGACCTGGAGCCTTATTCGCACCAAGAGAAAAAACCGCTTTTCTAACCTCCTCGCTGGTCACTGGGGCACATAGAGCTTCATTCATCTCAGATTAGGGATGGCAATGGGTAGGGTCGGGTGCGGGTATACCCTATACCAACTTCTAACCCGTCGGGTAGAGCTTTTTAAAATACCCGACCAAATAACCACCGGGTATGAGAATTATATAACCATACCCTACCCTCCGGGTAACCACGTGTATTCGGGTAACCATGGGTACGAATCCTAAACTATGAACTTATACACATATATGCACATACATATTGTTGTCCATTAAAAATTCTCAATACTTGTAATTGTTCTAGCTTCAACAATCCACACAAATAAAAACAGCAAACACATAATAATTGTTCTTGATTCTGCAATCCACACAAACATAATAATCGTCTACATCTTCATCATCAATAATGGTAGCTAAACTCAATTTCTCAAGCTAAAATAAATTTCTCAAGGGAAATTGACCCTTTGGTTAGCGGGGCGGGTATAACGGGGCGGGTATTATCGATTACCATACCCGTACCCTACCCTTTATTTTGAAACCGGGTATTATCCGTACCCGCCCCTTAACCCGTCAAAGCGGATAATTACCCTTGTTGATCGGTTACGATCAGGTAGGGTACCCATGGTGACGGGTTGGATTGACATCCCTATCTCAGATGTGACTTTTTCAGGGAACCCTTCCAAAAGCTGGATAAAGGGGATTTGGTCTCTAGCTCTGAAAAGGTCTTTGTGGAAATCCTGAGCTAACCCCTTAATCCTAATTTCATCATCCACCCATTCTCCCCTATCATCCTTGAGCCTAAGAATCTTATTCTTATGTTTTCTATGGATCGTGCTGGAATGGAAGAAAGAGTTATTCTGATCGCCTTTTTGTAGCCAATTCACTCTTGAGCACTGATTCCAGAAAACCTCCTCCTCCCTCCATATCTTGGACAGTTCTTCAATGAGACTTTTCTCTTCCTCCACTCTTTCTTGTGTTCTGGGGGGTCGTTGAAGAATCTCAAGGCGCTCAAGAATGTCCTTTTCCCTTTTAACACTGTTCCTATGGAAGTCCTTTGACCAATCCTTGAGATCTTGCTCGCATCTGGCCAGTTGAATAGACGAAGTCCCTCCCGGATCCCAAGCTCTGACCACGATCTCCTTACATTCTTCCTTACCCAACCATCTTTCATCCACTCTAAAGGGAGTTTTCCTCCTTCTATTCCCTCTGCCATTTAGTTCCAATCTGATTGGGCAGTGATCAGACTCTACCATCTTTTCATGGAACACAGTCGCTTCCCCGAAGAAAACTCTCCATGAATTCGAGAACAGCACCGGGTCTAAGCGTACTCTAGTTGTATTCTCTTCGGTACGCTTATTGGTCCATGTAAACGGTTCTCTAATAAACCCTAGATCAATAAGCGCATTATGGAGGATGAACCTTTTAGAAGGTTCGACATTCTCGCACCTAAGAGGACATCTAACCTCTTTTTCACTTTCATAGATAGCAACATTGGAATCTCCTACAATCACCCATTCATCCTCCCTACTACTCCGAAGAGAGCTAAGATCCTCCCAAAATTCCCTTCTACTAACAGCGATAGAGGGCGCATGAACAAAAGTACAAAAGAACTTCCTACCCATAGCGATACTACAATCCATATAAAAGCTATTACTACTTAGAACATTAATGCTAATACCCGCCTTCCACCACAAAGCAAAACCCCTAGAAGAGTTAACTGGTTCAACATACTCTTTATTGGGGAAAATTTTGAGACTTCTTCTTTGCTCCTCCATGAATGTCTAGTTCTTGCTCGTCTCCATTAGGAAAACAATCGAAGGGCCCAAGTGTCTACAAAGACGCTTCGCATAACTTCTTGTAAGGGTTGGGCCAAAACCCCTACAATTCCAGCTAATAACACTCATTCTTGATGAGATGGCTTCTGGCGAACCACCGCTGCCATTTTCTTCTTTCCCTGCCCCTCATGATCATTTTCTGTGCAAATCCCCTTTGTGCTGTTAGGATTATGAGACTTGAATTTCAAATTTTTCTTCCTAATGGCCTCTCCCTGCCCTCCCATCTCAAAAGCTCCTTCTGGGCCTAAAAAACCAGCCTCTTCACCACTTAACTCGGCCCTGGGCCTACTCCCCCCCCCCCCCACAAGGCCCATCCCTTTTCTCTTATTCTTCCTCCGGCCCACGTCTTCTTCACTTCCCTCACTTATATGTTGATAC